GCAAGCTTCATGTGGTACAAAACCTTCTGCTTTGATGTTGCTTTTAAAAGAGAGGAAATTCAGAAGGTGTGCGGTGCCGAGTCCCACGGAGCACTCAGATCTGGCCACCCGCAACTGCAGGCACAGGGACTGAGCTCTAACGCAGCTACTTTTGCTCAGGGCTCTGCTGCAACAGAGAGAACACAGGACCAAACGCCTCTCACCTTCACTAGCTTCTCCCAGACCAAACCCACCCTTGCTCTGCCTGTGGAGAACCAGGCACTCACTGCCCTGAGTCTTCCCACAGGAGCTCCAGACCTGACCTCAAAGGTGAAGAGGACCCTGCCCTTGCCCGTCCCACAGATCCAGGCAGAGCCGGTCTCTCTCCTCCTGGAGACCACCAGCCATAGCTGGGAAATTCCCCACCTTCCCGGGGCCACGGGAGGGGTAAGGGAGCCCGTCTCTCTGCCCCTCCAGCGATGCAACCCTCCTGCGTGAGCTCTCCATCGCGTGCATCGCCGGCATCTTGCACAGCAGTGGCAGGAAGGTGGAAGCTGCATGGAGGGTCCTGCTGTGGGCCCTGGCATGCTCTCCTACCTTACGCAGCGCCTGGGCCATAGCTTCTCCTATCCATCCCAGCATCCCCACGGCTGTGCCAACAGGCTGAGTCCTTCTCCTGGGGCCCAACAGAGCTGCCAGTAGTGACAGGCTCCTCTCCATCCCCCAGCTCACTTCACCTCCCTTCACTTTTCCCTGCCTCCCCTCCCCTCTCCTGCCTCCTCCCATGGGGAGTTTCCCAGCAGCTCAGTAATTAGCATCATCATCACCAGTGCTAATAACACCACCACAGCTCCTGCCACCCAAAGCTCAAACGACTTTACAGCCATCGTCACGCCTCTGTAACCTCCCCAGGGCAGGCAGCGCCGCAGCCTTACCCCATCGCACAGATGGGGGAGAGGGAGGCAAGCACCAGGCGGTCGGTGGCAGAGATGGGCAGAGAACCCAGGAGCTCTGACTCAGGCACCGCACCCACGGGACCTCCCGTCCCAGGAAGGAGGTCAGCGGTTGTGTTAATGGGAGGACTTATCCAGAGATTGCATCACTCGGCTCGGGGCCTGGGAGTCCTGGGGTGAGTTTTCTCCCCGAGCATCCCCGCGCGCAGCCTCGGCTCCCCCCTGGACAACGACCGTGGGAGCAGCACACAGGACGGCGCGCAGTCTGAGTTCACACCTTCTGACGGGACAGCAGGTATCGCGGCATCCCATCGAAGCACCTCAGATCAACCACTGGAGCTCACCTCTCATTAAGGGCTCGCTGTTCACTGGCGGATTAAAGAGGATTTTGGCTTTGAGCCTTCACAAAATGCGGAATCTGGGGGGATTCTTGTCTGAACAGCCTGACCAGGGAAAACTTCTCTCCCATCTTGGGTGGGGTTTGTTACATTAGATTTTAAAAGGCTCCCATGGATAGGAATTACAGCTTTTCAAAGAGGCCCACCCACGCTCCCCAGCAACAGACTGACGCAGCCCTGGTAGCCCCCGACGGACAGGGACAAGAGCAGAGCGCAAGGCAATGGGTCGCGTCGCTTTTGGCAAGTACCCACAAGACAACATTGACTCTAAATGTTCTGAGGTCTGGCCTACACTACAAAGGGCTGGCGTAGCTGTCAGCTGGGATCAGCAACACAAAACAAAATTCACCTGAAGTGACCCAGCCTCTTCCACCAGCAGATAACATAGAGATGTTCTCCTGGCAGAACAGGCCTTTCTGGAGGGTATTTCACGGGTGGCGAAGCACGGTCTGAAGACAACCAGCTGGTGTAAGCCATGTGCCGGCGAGGCTCTGCTGCCTGCACGGGGTGATGGACCATTTATTCCTGTGCCTGGACAAGCAGCAGGCACGCAGCACCGCCAGGCGCTGCCGGGAGCAGGGCAGAATTTCAGATGCTTCCTAAGCCTCTCCAGCTCTGGCTTCTGGGGAGCTCCTGGACTTCTGAGGGCGTTTCCGAAAACTTTAGGAAAGGGGATATAAATACACCTGCCTTGGCTTTGTGGGTGCACAGGCAGTGGCAAAACCTAGTTGGCGGCTCCGGCCTCCTTGGCAAGGAGGGATGGCAGGATGCCCCACCGAGAGCAATGCTGGGAGGCTTCAGTGTCTCACCTGCATTTTGCCAACCGGAGTCCCCTCTGCCATTCAGAGCATCTGCCTACAAAGACCACAACCCCAATCATGCTGCGTAACTCTGTTTAACTACTGGCCTGAAGAAAAACCCTATAAACTAATTGTCATTGTCATTTTTACAGGATTTGGACTATTACATACCAAATAAGGGACGTTCTTTAAAATGTAAGACAGGCAATCGCCCCTCTGCTCCAGCCACTGTTGAGTGCATCGACCTGTTCTCTCATCTTATATGAGACATATTTAATGTCTGCAAGGAGGAAGATGTAATATTTTTTCCACACACTGCTGCTCTGCATATCCTGTTGCATTCACTCTACGCTGTTTCACTACCATTTGCACCAGGCACGCCTGGGAACTGAACTAAAAATGGACTTTCGGGGCCCAGCTCACAAATCCAGAGCAAGTGGCGAGCGAACACACACACACTGCGAATCCAGGGCACGCAGGGAAGAGACCTTGTGAGAACAGCTGGTGAAAGAATCCGACTGCAGCAGTCAGGCAGAGCTCTGCAAGAGCAAACCCTGGGCTCTGCACCCCCGCTGCGGGGTCTCCCATGCCCTGATGGGTGCGAGGAGGAGCAGCATGTCCCTCACCTGCTCTCACGCTTCCATCGGAGTCAGGAACCAGCATGCGCCCCAGGTCTCTGAACGGCACCTCCTGCGACTGCAGCACACACTTCTACACTTGCTCTTTCACTGACTTTCACCAAAACCCCAGGCGTACTGTCACAAGGTCACTGGTGGTTGGCAATGTCCCATGGGGCCTTTTCTTAGACACAGGCTATGTACTCACAGCTACACTCCTGAGGCATGATTTTTGCCTTGCTCTTGATGGAGCATGACTTCTGTTTGGTTTCTGGCTGAACGTCTGAGTTAAAAATACGAGGCTATTTCTGGCAGAAGAGTTTTTTTCTTCTGCCTTTATATTGCCTTGGATGCCCCTGTGCTGCTGTCTCTTTTCTGGCTCAGATGAGCTTTGTTTTCCTTCTCAATGATCATGTTTGCACCGGTGAGCAGTAGGAAATGCTTCTCCTATTAGAACATTTCCACGAGTACTGCTGGGAATGAAGAATGAGCTCAGAGAAGTCTAAAAAAAACCCAGGTGGTGTAAAGATCCTGTCTCCAGTGGTCAGAGAACTGAAAATCCGGAATGCCTGTGGTTAAAAAGGGATGTATATGTGTGCACATGCATACAGGTACTTCAGGATATGTTCTCCCCATGACCTGCAGACCAGGAACAAATGACTCCATGCTAGAATCCTTTTCAAGCATCCCCGCTCTACAGACAGCTTTCATCCCAAGCTCTGCAGCTCAAGCCCTTTCTTACCCAGCATGGAAATATTTTATTTTGCTTTTCTTAAATGCCAAGAAAAAATAGGCCTATCTTTCCTGGCTTGGATTTATTCCATCTGGAATCACTGCACAATCACAGGACTGCGATAGCGTGTTACAGCCTCAGCATAAAGCAAGAGCCCAAATACTTTCAAACACCCCTGTGATCATTAAATCTTTGCTGTCACACTCCATCTCCTGGCAACAAGCAGCTGAGGACTTGGGGCTTCTCACTTGAGATCACTGAGTTCAAATCTCTCCAAGCCCCCTCCCACGATGCAGAAACATGCCATCGTTTGTGGGTGTGATCCCTGTCTCCAGGACCAAGAACAAAACCAACACAGCTGCAGGAAGCTCCCTGGTACATTGTATTTGCCACATGTCACAACAAACATGAACATAACTGCAAGATAATGGCCTAACAAACAGCTCAATTGTTCAGGCTAAAGTCATCAAAAAGGCACATGGAGAGCTTTCCAGGGCACGGATCCCCACCACCTTCTGGGAAGCCAAGCACAGACTGAGTCAGAGCTCTCCAACACCCAACACAGGCCTTGCTGCATGCCAGTAACCCATAAATCACTGACATCAGGGCCAGCTCCTCTTGCCAGGTTCTGCTTTTTAGGAAGCATGCTCTACTTAACTTGCTTCCAAAGAGAAGCTCATAGATGATGATTTTCTACCATCTCTGCCTAATGACTGATGAATTCAGAGACCACTCTGCACATTGCCACTCTGGAGACCATCAATGTGATCAGGAGACGAGAGGAAACAGGACCTAAGGTCCCAGATTTGGCAAAGGCAACCAGCATTTTTGGTTGCTCATCAAAAACCTGAAAATGGCTGTTTCTTGAAGGCAACAAGTCCACTCTTCATGAACCCCGGGAGGCTGTTCAAGTTAGGCTCCACAGATGAATTCAGAGACCACTCTGCACATTGCCACTCTGGAGCCCATCAATGTGATCAGGAGACGAGAGGGAACAGGACCTAAGGTCCCAGATTGCCAAAGGCAACCAGCAGTTTTGGTTGCTCATCAAAAACCTGAAAATGGCTGTTTCTTGAAGGCAACAAGTCCACTCTTCATGAACCCCGGGAGGCTGTTCAAGTTAGGCTCCACAAAGCAAGGGGTCCAAATTGCTGTGTTCTTCTGGAATTGAAGGCATCACATCCTCACAGTCCCAAACTCAGGAAAGCTCAGGTCTAGACTCCCGTCCCTCAAGAGAAGGCTACAGATACTACCACTAAATACCGAGCTCTTGTAGACCATTTTATGATGGAGGTTGGTACCATGGTTCTGTTAAATGGACAGTGATGCTGAGGCTCAAAAAGGCAAAATGATTTGCCTACAGTTGCCCAAACAGTCACAAGCAGAGCTAGATGCAGGCTCTGTTTTGCAACCAACAGGCCACACTGCCACTTCCATACCAGGCTAGAAAAGAGGTAAGAAAAAACAACGCTGTAAGAAACTCCCAGATCAGTACTGAAGGAAAAAAATAATCTTCCTACCGACTGTGACACCTGGACTCGGACTTCGCTGGTATCCAGTGGTGACGTACTTGACCCCTGGGACTTTCTCTCTGAACTGGATTGGTGCTCTCGGTATTTCTTTGACCTCGCAGGTAATGACAAGAACTCTTTTCCTGAGATCTTCAGATCTCCCACGTGATGGCTGTCCCCATTCTGGTCCTTGGAAAGCAAGAAACAGTCATTGCACAAATTGCCTGTCTCAGGTTTACGTGGAGATCTGTTGGCAAGAATCCACAGAACAGCAGACGCACAGCAGCCAGAAGTTTATGCGGAGTTTAGACAGTGTGAGCTGCCACTCGTCATGTGCAGGGTTGAATGAGGACGTTCTGACTATCTCTGCAGCATGTGATTCTAATGAGTGGGGAGGAAGCATCACCCAAACAACACACAGCAGCCAACTTCTCGACTGTGAGATGTAACATCCTCTTAAAAAACCCAGGTATGCAGGCAGCAGCACGGCTGGTTTATTTACAGGCATAAGGAATGATGGATGAAACCTTCAGAAGCAGTCGCTGCTGCTAGTGATTGCTGGCAACTGCACTCATACAAACCTCTTCTCCACAGAGTGGCAAGCTCACCTTGCCCAGGATACCAAACTCTTGGCACAGGTCCCTCCTCTTGCTGTATCGTCACTTCTTCCCAGCGCCCAGCCGTGCAGAAGCCCACACTGAACCACGGACAACCCGCCCACGCCCCAGGGAACATGGCTGCACTAGATGCTCCACAGCATTTCCCACCTCTAGGGCTTGGCTCCCAGCACAGATGGAGCATTGCCTGCCTCAGTGTCTCTCACTGTCTTCACCAAGAAGGAACCTTACCCAATGGTTTCCTAAAAGGCAGATTAACATGAACTGCTGGAGTCCCATTCAGCTCTTTTGGAGCCCTCACGCTGCCAGACACACGTGAGGACTGCAGGGCAACGTGACTGACTCCAGCAGCTGGTTACAAGCAGTCCCCCGTTCGCTCACTGCTGTCCTCCTTTGCCCTCTGAAGTGCTGGTGCCCAGTGCTCCCACAGGCATGTAAAACACAGCATTACCACCCTTGTGGAGTGAATGGGGAAACTGAGGTAAGAGATTTACACATCTCTCAAAAGTTTTGTCCCCTCTCACTGCAGCTCCTCACTTTGCTTTTCCAGGCCCTGCCCCACGCCTGGCTCCCCCATTCTCACCTCCTTCCCACAAGACGCGTGCAACTCTATCCCTTCTCTGTCAAACGACTCAAGCTAACGGCCCTGCCTCTATCATCATCACAGCCTCATTACTGCTGTCACGCAGATGAGGCCCTCGTACAGAAGCACAAGCAGGAGTGTTCAGCATTAGCTCCAAAGACACTTATGAAAGGCACCAGGCACTTTACGCGTAACCAGTGGGAACTGAGTACCTAAACCTGCTTGATGCTCTGGGCTTCAGTGTTTCTGGGCTGCAAACCACCGCTTCATCACACGTAAAGCAGAGGGGACTGCCCAGGGTGTCCTCACTGCAGCAACTACACGCAGGTGAAAGAAGCTCAAGCACAGCTCAGGAGACGACCCAAGGGCCCAAGAAGTTGGGATTTAAGCACACATAGACCAAAAAGCCAAGGATACTGCACAGGACCCAAAGTCACAACACATCGACAACACAGTGGGATTTTGTAGCCAAAATTATTTTTCCATTCCTTGCAACACAAACAGGAATAGTGAGAACAAGTACGGAGAGATTCATTTCCCTAGGTGCTGTTGATGGGACCAGCTGCAGCCAGGCTGGTGTCCACATTTTGAAAAGCAGCCACAAAAGTGGATTTCAGAACTGGAAAGAAGCTGCCTTACAATGCCTTACTGCCTTAGTTAGAGCCCTCAAATTGTTTAGCTCATGACAAAAAGAATAGATGACTCAATTACAGCACGTAAACACCTTCAGGGTAAAAACCAGCATGTGATAAACAGATTTTTAGTCTGGTAGAGAGAGAGGAATAAATAAGAACCAATGGCTGGGAGCTAAAACCAGAGAAGCTCAAAACAAGCAACAAGGCACAGGTTGGAGAGCAGGGTGATCAGGGAAGCAGCGTTCCTGCTATCTGCTGGGGCGTTCAGAGCCAACGTGGGTGCCTCCTGGCAGTTGCGCTCTGCCCAGGCACGCGGCTCCGTGCAGAGGCATTGGACAAGAGTTCCTGGCCTGTGCGGTACCAGAGGTCCCTGCTGACTTTGAAGGCTCTCTCTGGCAGAGATGGTGGGCAGAGAGGGCGAGATGATAACGAGAGGATGCTGGAGAGACCACAGTTCACTCCACTGATTTATTCTTTACCAGCTTATCACCCTCGCCACAGCAAGCTTGAAGCAAACAGCCCTCTCCCGTGACTGTAGTGACCTCTCCCTAGGAGCAGCAGCAGGAGAGAGGGAGGGGAACCGCATCCAAAACACTCTCGCAAGGGGAGGGGAACTCGCACGCACCCCCAGGACCACTGCTGGGGGACGGGAGTACTCGAGTCTGACTCCACAGTTACGGACTGCCCACAGCTCCTCTGGTTGCTCCATCCTCCCTGTGGAATCCCTCAAATCCCATAACCCTGTCCAAACTATTGAACCAGGTTTAGCTTTTACAGCAAAGAGTAGGGAACCAACAGCATTAACACCATTAGCAGCAAAGCCCACACCAGCAAAACTCTCCCTGCCAGCCCTCTGGGCCACGCTGCTCTGATGAGGACACTCGATCGAATGCCTCCCCGACACCAGGCACCGCTGGCCCTGCTCTCAGCACCCCCGAGATGGAGTCACACTGGTTGAAGCAGGTAGGAGCCAAAACAGCCAGTGGGCAGTTGGGAGAACTAATAAAAATACATAAATGTGTTTGGCATTTAACTCCCAAAGAGCTTTAATTCAGGGAGGAGCTTTTGTCTGGCCCTCTCAGTGCTCACTGGGATGTTTAGGCACCCAAATGGTTTTTTGCAAGCCTGAGGTTCTTTCTCATTGACCATCTGCACCTACCTGCACTTGGGCAAGTTATTTCTCTCTGTGACACTTCTGTAAAAGGGGAGATGCTCCCTGGGACATGCAGGAGAGCTGTGCCTTGAAAGCGCTGGATAAATGTAAATTATTTGTGCCAAAGACATTCCAAAAAGGCAGAGCACGGCTGCTTGCCTGGCCACCTCCTCTGGCAACCAGCATGGGTGAGCCCCATGGCAGCACCAGTGCCTACAGCTGGGCAGACCCAGCGATCCTGCGCAGGATTTTCTGAGAAACTTAAAGAATCCCTGCAGGTGGAAAGGCTCAGTGCCTCCCAGCTGACTGCAGAAACAGCCTTTGCCCTGGGGAGACTGAGAAAATGCTGATCTGCTTGGATCTGACATTTCCAGCGGCGAAGCAGAGCAGAGGCAACCCTCAGAGCCCCTTGGCACAACACCCTCTGCCTCCCGCAACGCACCGTCTCCTGCTTCTGCCCTCTCCCTCCCAGCACTCCGCTGCGCTGACAGGGCACTGAGATTTGCCACCAGCCACGAAAGGGGCTAAAAGGCAAACGATTACCCTCTCAGTAAAGGGCTGTTTCTTCAAAAAAGCACAGAAGTGGCTTTTTCAGCTTTCAGTTAAGTGCCTTTTTAGCTAGACCAGCTGTTCCTCTCCTCCAAGCTCTCTAGAAACCCTCTTTGGTTAATCCCATTGACTCCAATGATATCTGCTAATTGCAGACTTCCCTGCAAATGAAGCCAGTCAACAAGCCATTACAGATTCCTACTGATATTTAATCTTTGAGGCCAGACATCTTTGCTTACCTTTTCAGAAGGGAACTTCAGGAGGTCTAAGCTGTCCATGCTGTTCCTTTGGAGTCTCTTTGGCCTGGCTCCTGCAAAACAACGCACTCTCGCATCAGGAGGGTGTCACTCACTGACAGCACTAATGTCACACAGATAAAATTCAAACCAGGGCAGACCCTCTGCTCCTGTTAACTGCAAAGTCAGAAGGATGGGATGCTGCAGCTGCACTGTCCTTGAGATTCAAACGTGGGGTTTCTCCTCTATTGTTTTGGGTCTTTTTCAAAACACTATCACAGCACAGCCAGCAACAACCAGGGCTGCGTGAAGCTTTTGCCGTCGAACCAGTGCCTGGGTCACACTACGACCCTGATATCTGGAATTCAGGAGTCAGAAATCCCACTCTAAAGAACAAAAGTCAGGGGGACTGACATCGAGAAAAATCATAACAAAAATATAGTTTGATACATACATGGATTTGTTGCTTTATCTTCATGTTTTGAATTCAAGGAATGTATTTGGGACGCAGCTTTAAGCTTTTCTCTACAGTCATGAAGGCTGGAAAAGTAAGTGAAGGAGCAAATATTTTCTAACCATCACAGGCCCAGACTTAATGGGAGAAAAACCTTGCCCTGAAGCTGACAGAGAAATCAAAAAATTTGGCAGCATTCATTACACTTATTTGAGATTTCATAAATTTTATTTTAATGTAGTGTTCTAGCAATGAGCGGGTGAAACACAGTTCAGCTCTGACTGCTGCTTTCCAAAGTCTCTTTACCTGCACATCTCCCTCCAACCCGCTTCCAGCTGCTGTTGCCTTGCTCGCTAACGCAGCCAGGATTTACAAAACAGCCCTGGGATGCCTTCACCACATCTGGGAAAACATCTGCCCTTTGACTCTCCTGCTCCCCTTCCTGAAGGTTCTGTTTAGCTGGGCGCCACGTGACATCCCGCACCAGCAACACCAAGCAGGGCAGAAATGAAAGCTCTCAACTCAAGGTCCCATGACAACTTCCAAGCTTCGGGGGAAATCCTGGGGGAGGGTGAATAAACGCATACGAATTGAAACCCATCCCCATGCTGAGTCCTGAGAACGGAAACCACTGAGCTTTGTGTGGTTCCTGCAACAGCAAACTCACCAAACCTACAGATTCCCCAGTTTCCCACCACCACCTAACAGCACCGTTGCTTACGTTACAGCAGCCCCCACAGACCCTGCTCAAACCCAGGATACCACTGAGCTGCTCTGTGGATAAACTTAACGAGAGAGAAGGCACAAAATTCACAAGCTAATTCAAGACTGATTGTAGGCAGAATATGGTGATTAAACAGAAAAAGCCACAAGGTAGCAGGGAATCCTTCACTAACAAGCACACATCCAGGCTCCAGATGTGACCACAGCTGTCTCGAAACTGCAGCAACTCCAAAGACACTGCTGCTTTCAAAAGCTCAGTCTCACTCAGCTTTGTGAGGTACAAGACAAGCTCAGACCAGCTGGGACTTCGCTAAGGGTCACGCACATACATCACATCTTAGGTACCAACGACCTAAGGTGAATTACACTGCCCCTCGCTAAACTAAAGTGATTTACTTCTTGCGGCCTTAAAGACTCAAATCAAAGTATTGTTGCACATTTCTGTCTCTCTAGTTCAAAGAGCACATCAGCACCAGCTTCGTTTCAAGGTGACCGCATTGCTCGGCTTTGTGTTCCGAAGGGACTGGCATCGGCGCTGGCGAATAGGTGCAGAACAGATATTGACGTGAATACATGAAGAGTAAGCAAAACATGTAAGGATAAGCCATCGTCACTTTACCAAACTCTACCCTCTTCCACACCACAAAGCCAGTTGCTCGCTTGGCAGCGGCTCAGTAACAACAGGATTTGATCCCGGAAGGTCAGCGATTGCTGCCGACACTGGCAAGGGTTCAAACACGGGGCTGCCCTCCCTCTGGAGCAGGCAGAGAAAAAGAACTCTGCTGCCCTCAACAAAGCAGGCAGAACTCTTGATTTTACCATTTTTATTCCAGCCTTTGCTTATGTTTACTAAGATATTTTATCTCAGGTATCTTATTTTGCTAACATATCTTGAGCTCCTCCTGTGAGCAGGTTGGGAGAGGCTCGTGTTGTTGGACACCAGCGAAACGATACGGTTATTTGGCAGCTGAACACCTCTGTTATCACAGGCTGGATATCCACTCAGCCATGAAGGCAGCTGAAACAATCAACCCCGAGCCCTCTCCCACCATAAAACAGAGAGAGCCACACCACTCTCGGTGGGCAGGCACAACCCACCACCCTGCCAGAGAGACCCCTTCACTCCATACAGGACCCCCCTTCCATGTGCTAAATGCCGTCCAAGCTTACACTCCTCGGGGGCATCAGTGGTGTCACTCCCAGTTTTCAGCTGGGACAACCCAGAGCTCTTAAACAAAGCTAAGGTCCTGTTCCAACTCGATGGGAGACATGAGATGCCCTGCACCCAGGTCCCATCGCTCCACCATGCTCCAACCAGCAACCTGTGGGCATCAGCACGTAGAAGGTGGCTCTGCCCCAGCAGGGCGGCTGCCGCTGGCCCCAGGTCTCCTCCCACGCTGCCAAACGAGCGAAGGGCTTTTGGCTGCTGCCACGTCAGTCAAATGGGAGCTCAGCGAGGGGAAGGCAGCGGCGGGTTGTGCCCAGTGGCTCCCAGTTACACCTGATGATGTTCTGGACATCGCTATGGCTGCTCACGGCTCTCAGCTTCTCTCAGAATAACCTATAGTCCTACCTACGGAGCAGCGAGGTGAGTCTAGAATAAAGGACACCTACAAACACTTAATTAGATGGTGCGTTAAGGTTTCAAAGCAATACCCAAGAGGCGAGGCCGGCATCTGGAAGTGAGCATGCGTCATAGTGGCTTTTAACGGCCACTTCCAGGAAAGCCAGAAAGCAGCAAAGTGTGTCTGATTAGATAAACACACACCATTTCCAACAGTCTAAAGAGTCGTTAATTACACACCTCCATCCTCAGGTACTTTTGTACATTTGCAACGGCATTAAACTGCTGGCCAGAAACCATTAATCTCTGATCTGAGAAAAGCTGCCTTCCCGTTTGTTAATTTAATAGATGTATTCAGCTGAGATTGCCCCAGCAATTAGGGCATGCAGAACAATTTGTCTTTTTCAGTTGTTTTGATGCTGGTGTTCCTCTGTTACCATGTGGATTTCACATTCATTTGAGATAAGAGAGGAAGAAGTCAGGAGTTACAAACTCAGCTTGCGAGCCATTCAACTCGGCCATTTTCTTCCAGAAAAAAACACCACCAGCACCAGGGCCAAACGCCGGTCTCGCGAAAGCCCACAGTTCTGCCATCCCCGCTCACCGCCAGCTGTCCCACAGGGAAGCGGCAGCACCACGAACACGAGCAGCTAAAAGAATTCAGAAGCTTCATCTCCATCAGGGCTATTGTAAACCAGCTCGATGCAGGCAGCAATTCCCACCGTGCTCACGGGAGCTTCTCCCCTTTACTCCACAGCAGACAGGCTCAGTCACCTGCCTGTACTCATCTTCCAGGAGAGCAGAGACATTTCCATACTCACAAGCACCCCAACGACAGGAGGAGTCCCATTAACTCTCTGCCTCCGACCAGGACATTCCCTCAGATAGCTTCAGACGTAACTTGCAGCCTCCTCCAAGTTATTTTTCCCAGAAATACCTGCAGCACCGCCTAACATTCAGCAAAAGTTCAACTCTGCCTCTTTCTCCCCAGTGCCGATCAACAGCGGCAGCAGCAGCCGTGGATGCGAAAGATTGAGCTGCTGAAACCCCGGGTCTGTTCCTCTGGAAGGTTTTTTCCTCTCTCTCCAGCATTTACTGGCGTGTTTACCAAGCCTGCTGCGGAGTAACGGAAAACCTCAGGGGCATTTCTAAATGCTCTCTCTGTCCTGAAGGTTTACTGAGGTCTCTGACAGAGCAAGTTGAAACCTTCTTGTGAACATCAGCTGAGCAACGCTACTGACTGGCTGTATTCATGCCTTGTTTTCCTGGAGCTCCTCGGATGTTGTTCTTCTCACTGCTCAGGCTCAGGGTTGTTGTTTTATTTTTAAATATTTTTTTTCAAAATCTCCCCACC